GGCTGAAGCGTCGACGATTTCTGGCCGGCAACTTTCAGCGTCATTAAGCCACTGCGCTTACTTCCAGGTGTGGATAAAAGAGGGAGATGAATGGAAGACAGCGTTCCGTTGCCCGCTGGGGCACTTCCAGTACTGCGTTTTACCATTCGGATTGTCGGGGGCCCCAGGCATGTTTATGCAGCTCATAAATGAGGTGTTGCATGAATTTTAGTACAAAAGAGTGTTGGTATACTTGGATGATATTTTAATCTACACTGAAATGTGGGAGGAGCACATGAAGCTGGTGAGAAAAGTATTGGAAAGATTGCTTGAGGCTCAGCCATGTGCTAAATTGTCTAAGTGTGAATTTCACCAAGAACAAATTGACTATCTGGGATACAGAATCTCCAGGAGAGGGGTGGAAATGGATCCCAGCGATGTCCATGACGTAGCGGCGTGGGAGGCCCCAAAGACAAGGCGCCAGTTGCAGAGTTTTCTGGGCTTTGCAAATTTCTACCGTCAGTTTATTCCTAATTTTGCTCAGGTGGCCCTACCTCTAATGGACTTGTTAAAAACCAAAGGCAAAGAGACTATGAAAGCTCGGAAGCCAGGGGCTCCGCTGAACTGGACAGAGGAATGCTAAGAGACCTCTGAGCACCTCAAAACCCTGTTCACGTCTGAACCCATCCTGAAGCACCCAGACCCCACAAAGCCCTTTGTAATTCAGGCAGATGCATCAGATGTAGCCATTGGATTGGTGTTGTTACAGAAGGGTGATGAGGGGTTATTGCGACCATGTGCCTACCTTTCTAAAAAGTTTAATGAAACAGAAAGAAGATGGTTAGTGTGGGAAAAGGAGGCGTTTGCAGTGAAGTGGGCTTTGATGAACTGGAGACATTTGCTCAAAGGGGCAGACCTTCCTTTTGAAGTGTGGACAGATCACAAAAACCTGGAGGCCTTACGATCTCCCAGAAAACTGTCTCCCAAACAAGTGAGATGGGCGCAAATCTTTGGCTGCTTTAAATTCACATTAAAGTACATTCCTGGGGGGCGGGGGGGACTTCTTGGCAGATGCACTTTCGCACTTACCCCAGCACAACAGCCAAAGGGAGAAAGTGGTGTCGGCAGTCATTCCGACCAACCAGGAAGCATTGGCTGCTGTAACCAGATCACAAAGCAAGAAAGTAGAACTTCTGGCCCAGGGGTTGTTAAAAGAAATCAACTCTTTCCTGGCCAAGGATGAATGGTTCTTACAGAATAAACCCCTGTTAGAAGAGCGAGAGGGAGCATAGTGGAAAGGAGATAGACTACTGTAAGTTGAGGACTACCTGTAGTACTTTCATTATAGTTTACAGTAACCTTTCTGCCCATTACAACCACTGAACCACACTGGCTCTGGGACTGAGAGTCCCCCAGGGAATTTTGTAGCTCAGAGGGACAAGAACCCCACTCTTACTCCAACACTTTAACTACTATATCACATCGGCTCATCACAATGACGTCAGATGTATCATGAGATCACCACACAAATGAAATGAATACTGTCACTTGCATTTTTTGCTCCGTGATGTCATGCATATGACATTGCTCCCCAACCCCTCCATCTCCCAGGGCTTTGTGTATGTGCTACAAAAAAACTACATTCATTTTCTTAAAACAGTTGCTTTCACATGAACCAGTAATTCCAGGCTCCTCATATTTATGACTCTAAAACAAGGTGGGAGATTTATGGGTAATGGTGCTGAAATCTGAAAAGGAAGCCTGAATGAGATAGCAAAAATGGAGGAGATGGTGGGTGGGGAGGTGGCAAGTATAACAAAAGATTTGAAAGATGAAAAATACCAAAAAAAGTTATAAAAATATAAACCACCCATGCTTGCTCACATTTGCACACTCCATTTTGTTAAATGGGGCCTTGGATTATGTGGACACTGGGCCTGCATTTTAGTTTCTGTCTCTCCACAGTGCCAACAAGCCGCCCATTTCAGGGGCTTGCACTTACTTTCTCACGAGAGATGCATTCTAGACAACGTTCTACTTCCAGGATCATGGAATCCAGCTTCTCAGCACCAGCCTTCAGCTCCATCCTGAGGGGCTCTAAACTAGCCAAGGACAAGGAGACTTTGAGATGCCTCTGGAGAGCATCCTGAAGACCTCCTTGGTGGTAGCTTTGCAGGAACTTTCTGCAGTCCTCTTCCTTGCAGAATTTGAGCTGGACAATCAAATGAGGGTCGCTACAATGGACCTTCAGGATATCCAGCCCATTGAAGCCCCCTGTGGAATCTGAGGAAGAAAGTAGAGAGGAGAAGAAAAAGGAGTGAGTCAGACTAGAGCTGCAGGAACCAATGCATCAGACAAATGGTTTACTGCTGGTTGGTACAGCAGAGGGTCGAGGCCAGTGTTTTTCAAATCTGGCAACTTTTAAGATGTGTGGGCTTCAGCTCCCAGGATTCCCTTGCCAGCAGTTTGAAAAACACTGCTCTAGGCAGTGGTATGCCCTGATCATCTTGAGTAAGTCCTCTTTGAAGGAGAAGAAGCCTTGTGAGGAGTTCATCTAGGGCCTCTTCTAAGGAGGAAAAAGAAAAGCAGAAGTCTTGTGAAATCAGCTTAGGGCTTCGCACCAGGATCTTGGAACCATCTTCTACTGCTCCTGACTTTGCAATTCTGTCATGGCAGCACCATGAAACTGTTGACAGTGGCACGTCAAACATGAGACAAAGCACTGCCAGATTGTTTGGAAAAGTTCCTTGAGAATGGTGATCTACTCAGGAGCAACTGTTCTACTTAGAAGTAGGTTGTTACTCCTGAATGCACTTCCTGGATTCTGCTCTAATCAATGCCAGCTGTATTTGGGTGGAAGTACAAAACCCTCCAGAGGAAAAGCTTATTTAATTGTAACTTTTGTTATCTTGATTTCAAGTCTTAGCTGGCTTCTTAGAAAGCACAGTAAAACACTAACTACTCAATCCCCTAGATTTTGGGTGCTGATGTTAAACATTTTGCCCTCATCTTTGGATTGGACTTTGACCCTGTGTCTGCCTACTGACAAGTGTAAGTATTTTTTTTGAGAACTTGGCTATTTTGTCTAGTTGTAATAATATGTGCTTCAGGCCAACTGGGGCTTATTCAATAAATGGTTAAACTTGTATGGGAAGCTAGCCAAGTCTGAGCCCAAATAAGCTGGCTTTGAGGGAAATGCTGTTATTTTCTATGTACTTAGACTGAAAATCTTATACCCAGCTTGACACATTTCTTCAGATACAACTGCTATGTTGGCATAGCCTCCTAATCTGTAGTAGGCTAAATCATGGTTAAATGAATTAACCCACTGGCTTGCTTGAGTTCAAACAATAAAATGAACCATATATTAGCCCAAAATTTTATGGTGTGATAGCATGAGATTAGAGAGACAGACATTCAAATTCCTAGCAGGCCCTTATGTTTACTGGCTGGACACAGATTTAAACTGGATTTACCCTGAACCAAGTAAACCATATTATGGGTGAAATGGATCCATGAACCTAGCCTGATGGTACAATCCTATACAAGTCTATCAAGAAGCTGAGCATGTTAAGGCCAGGGGGGTCTAGAGTTGAAGGTGCTGGAGCAGGGAGACCCAAGGTTTAGTCCCCTTTCACTATAGATATTCCCAGGGTGACTTTGGTCCAATCTCTGTCTCTCTCAGCCCAGGAGCCAACGTGGGTCAGTATTGAAGGTGTTGGAGTAAGAACAGAGAAACCAGGGTCTAGTCCACACATCTTCAATCTTGGCAGCTTGAAGATGTGTGGACTTCAACTCCCAGAATTCCCAGCCAGGTTGAGAAACACTGGACTCCCCTCAGGGACTTTGGGCCAGTCCCTCCCTCTCAACTGTTATGGGGAAAAATGGGGAGGAGGGCAGATGCTGTCTTGAGGTCCACAATCTAATCAACTTGTGGTCTTGTGTGAATACAGCTTATTAGGAAATGTGTTTCCCAGCCTAACTTCCCACATGGGATGGAAAACGGCTTTTTGCTAGTAGAGCTAGGTTAAACTCTAACTTATCCCAGAATAAGTTTAAAGAACTTGTTTAAGATGGGTGCACGAAGCATGTTAACAAAGACCCAACAGCTGCAATCCTGGGTTTTATTTGGGGTAAGGATGAGCAATGCTGCACAAGGCTGTCAACCCTTTAAAATAGACCAGACAAGGAAACCCAAGTTATGAAAGTTAATACTACTTTTATTATAGGGTTACAGTAACAGAATCTTGCAGCTCTGAATGTGCCTCCCCCTCCCTGACCTGATCCTAAAGAAACTAGAGAGGGTCAAATCTAAGACACTTTCTCAAATTACATTTCTGCCCCAGGCTCAGCTTTCTCTCATTTGACTGTTGCCTTGGCTGCGGATCTTCCTCCTGTTCCTCAAGGTTATTCTCACAGCCCGTTACAAAGGCATCCAAGTGGATGGAATGAATAAACCCCTTTTGCTGAAACCCAGCGGGATCTTAGGTACTGCCCTTGAGTTCATGAATCTCTAGAATGACTAGTTTGTTCCTGGCCATGGGGTAATATAAAACCTCCCTTTAATTCTCTATCAGATGTGGTGGTAACAAGAAACAAAACCCCTGAAAGATGGGGATGCCTTGGGGGTGGGGAAGGAAGACCTCTCTAGTTTGCCTAAATTGCACCGTGCCTCAGTCTCCCCTCTTGTTGGGTGCTTTCGAACAGCAGCTTGGTTTTCCCAGCCTATAAGGCTGGGGAGGGGGACTGTCCCCTTTTCCTGTTCCCCTCCCTACCAAGCCTCTTGAGACCCTGGTGGCCAAATTCAGTGGCAAATACCTGAGCACCCACAATTTTACCCTTTTAGTGGGAAACACAGGAAAATAATGCATTAAGCCTGGGGCCCTGAGGAGCATTTTGTCATCTTGCCATCTTTCTTCTTTTTTGTTGTGTGGTGTTTTCTTGTTTTAACAATTTATATACCACCCAGAGTTGCTGGGAGTTGGGCAGCATATAAATATTACTATTATTATTACTAATGCAGATGTCTAAAAACATAACTTTGCTTGATCTCTTCTTCTCAAGGAAAGAAAACAGAGACCTAACGCCAAGCTCTGTTCCTTCCAATGGTGTCATTAGGTTTGTCCTGTACAAGGTTGCCCTTAGTTTTCCAAACATTACAAAGAGTGGTTCCTACTCTTAAAACATTCTCCGTTCCTGCTCCAAATGCTTTCTTCTAGGAGGTAAAAGATTCTTCCAAAAACTGGAGGTAAGAAAGCCATTACAAGAAAATGGAAGGCTTATATTATTAACCCTGGTGACTCAGCTACTCTTAACTGTATGCCTGTGGTGACGGAGAACAGTTTGAACCTCTCACCCTATAAACTGTTTGGAACTGAAACCAGAAGCACCGTGGATGTAATCTCTTTCTGCAGGACTCTCCCCATGAGCAAACATGCCTTGGCAGATCCAAGGAAGGAAATGATGTTTTGTTTTACACAGGGTAGTGGTGGAAAGAATTTTGAACTCGGGAGAAAAAAATCTGAGGTGTACAGCCAAGAACTGGCTGACTAATTCCCTCTGACTGTAAACTTGCTGGCCAGGCGGACCTATGTCAATGCCCTCTACGTACCTGCAAGCGCCAACTTGAACGCCTTGAATATGCAGGGCCTCTGTTGGGGGTTTCTGTAGAGCGTGGGTAGAAAGACCTTTTCTGAGGTTGCTTGGACGAACAGGTAAGCGCTGCCCACCCACCCATCCATGCTGTCTCCCATCACTTTGCCTCCTGAAATGAAACACAAATCAGCTGTCACCAGAAGAGACTCCTTAAAATGTCCTCAAACGAAGACAACCAGCACCCAATAAAGCAGGATTGAATTTGCTTAGTGTTGGGGTGGGAATCTTAGAGATGTAGGCTAGGCTGTGAAATTAAAAAGAATGAAATCCTCACGTGAGAGCAAACCACTTCCATGTGGTTGCCTAGAAGACCACATCAAGATATCTGAAGTACCCAGGAGTCAAGCTGTATCTGTGGGAGACTTCAGTTCCTTTATGAACATTTTCCCGGTAAGTCCTTCCGTGAACATTTCTGTACAGGTGAGTCTGAGAACCTATCAGTTTTGGTGCTACCTCTTCTGTTGCTCTCCTCTTCTCCACTTCCTATATGTAGCTAGTTTCCATTCACCCAACTTGGCATACCCAACTTGGCACTGCTAAGGTACTGGCCAGCATAATAAGCAGCTAGTAATCCCCTTGTAGTTCTGGAGCTGCAGAAGTAGTTAGTGAGGTACCTCAGTTTCTTATCAAGGAGTTTGGGAGAAAGAATTGCACTGGAGCCAAATGGCCGAGGTCTCGGGAGAGACTGGGCAAAACTGGCATCACACTTCAAGCCAAGCACGCTCCTGGTCCTTCTCCTTTAGGAACAAAAAAGGTTCGGGAGGAGAAGATTGATGGGTCTTTCTAGCAGGGATGGCCTCGGAAAGAGAGAGGGTTTGGAGCATCGCTGCAGGAAGGCCCTGAAGCAGTGGAAATGTGCAGGGGAGCGGGCTGTTGCTATCCAAAATCTTGAATCCTAAGCCTGCATTCACAAAATGAGCGTATGTACTAGAAACACAGTAATCCCCCAAGACGTGATGGGCTTCAAGGAGTACTTCACAGAATGGAAAGGTTGATGGAGATTAGCTAGAACAGTGTTTCACATCCTTGGCAACTTTAAGATGCGTGGACTTCAACTCCCAGAATTCCCCA